GTTTCCGTTACTTTAAATGTATAAAACTTAAAGACGGTAACATTAGGTAACCTTAATCGTATAAGCTGGGGGACACTGAATTAAATTATGTTTTTTCAACCCTGATTAAAAGTAGTTCACATACTTTACTTTGAAGATCCATTTTCATTTCGCTAGTATCACGTGTTTTCGAAATAAATAAAAAGTTATCAGAACATACTTGTTGTAAATATAATAATGTATTGCTATAGATGTTAACACTGTTCGATGAATTATTGCATAAATTTAAATATTTGACTTTTAATACCGGATTTTAGAATTATATTTTAGATTATAAGAAGGAGTAGGGTGCTACCGGTGCTACATAGGTCGACGGATTAGATTAGATTTACCAACTTCCCTTCCTCGAAATACTATAGTATCATGACATTTTATACTAAACAAACCTCTTTTGACCTATTTCAACACTAGAAAATCCGAATTCTTACAAAACAGCTATCGCAATACCTGGTTAAAAGATGTTTTTACTCTTTAGATGAATTTCTGGATTATAATGATTTGGTTTTATAACATTACAAGTTTATTTTTATTTGTTATTTAAGATAAATGAAAGACAACCTATTTATTTATTTTTAAATATTTGGCTATTGTAATATAACTAGATATGAGATAAATTTTCAAATAAATCAATCAGGTTCTAAATTTAACAATACTTATTTAATAATTTATAAGCATCCAACACTAAATGAATATTTAGTCCCATATTAAATACTTTCTAAAGCTTGGCTTAAGCTTGCAGATTCAAAAAAAATATACAAAATGATAAACGGGCGCTGAGGGATATGTTATATTTCACCGGTATCTTGTCTCGGTATAGGATTAATCCATTTACTTCTAAAGAAGTAGCTACTCTTTTTAAAGCCTTGATCCTTTTATCGTTATCAGGTTTTAATGTGAGATTACTTTGATAGATGATTTCATTTAAAAGCAACAAACGCATTTTAGTTACTTTTGTCTATAAAATATGTTTTTTCATCAATTCTGTTTTCATACGGAGAATATGTTTCTCCGCTTAAAATCCTATTGTTATTCTGTATTAATATTTCGTTAATACAATCGTATTTCCATTAACTGTCTCTATTTACTTTAACCCTATACATTTCCCTGCTTAGCATTACCTCTACTTGATGTTCTTATCTGCTAATGCTACTCCAACTAAGTAAATACATCTCTGAGTTATTTTATTACTTATTTTACTTTTCTTAATCAGTACTGTTTTGTTGTTACTTATGTAGAGATTGTCTATATAAGTTCCAAATTCTATTTAGTTTTTTTTACAATCGGATGGATACTTAGAACTTAGTAGACTTTTTTGACGTACGTACAAGTGTGTTAACACGGAAAAAAGATTATGGTGTTATAGCACCGAACATGTTCGAAATTGACACATTTTGTCAAACTGTGACTGGATTACGTAAGTAATTTAGTCTTACATTATGTCAACCAGCTCAGGGGCTACACACGTGGATTTTAAAGACAGTATTGATTAGAACAAGTCACCTTTCAGTTTTCTAAGGTTAGGACAAGAATTAAAACTGCATTTTAAATCAGATGATTCTGTTGTTGGTTAAACTACTTATTATTTCAATTTCTAAAAATAATTAAAATCATAAAAAAATTGAATGAAAAATGTCTTCTTTATGGCAGTGTATTTATATTCAAAGCTTTTAAGTAGCAAAGTTTATTTATTGCACCATTTCGTCCTCTTGGTGCCCTAAAAATTATTTTAATCTCCTCTCATTTTCCTAAACCTACCAACCATCATTAAGATCAGATTAGCTACAAGCTTATTGTCACGTCCGTACGATTGATGTATTCTAGTCAGGTTTCACGTTCTGTGTGATCCAACATCACAGAGGGGGAGTTTGTAGAAGATGCCTCGAGATTTCACCTGGCGATACAACTTGACTAGCATAGTATTCAGAAGCGTCAAATCTTTGACAAAAGAATCCCAAGATGAAAAGTGTAAACATATCATTTTTAAGCTGTAACTATTTGGAAAATCAACCAACATTTCTGAACATGAAGTATTTTCATACAATAGTATATTTCATCACTAAGGCCTAAAGTGACTCTTTTTGAACCGAGGTCAGGTTTTCGGAAAATAAACGAGGGTTAAAAAGACACTTTTTGCCCGTGTGGGGAGGTTTTTCGTCATATTGTATCATTAATTAACAAACTAACGTAGAAAATAAAATAACTTTAATGTAAAGATAGCCTCTCAAAATTATTTCCAGCTTGTTTTCAATTCTGCTAATACAAAAAAGCAGCTGTTTAGTAAGTGATTCAAAAATAACGTCTATTACGAGTATGTTACAGTACATTATGCCCTCGATATGTCGAGCGATCGACAACAATAGGCTTAAACCTTAACTAATAAATCAATCGATAGATAATTTCGATCGTTACGATTGCCACAATCGAAATTTACAACAGCTGATTTTTACTCCCTAGAGAGTAAAAATACCACTTTAGACCCACAAAGCATGCCTTAAAAACGGCTGTTTTTGCTGCAGTAGGCTTATGCGGGAAAATATGCTACAAACTGGTGAAACTTAATTAGGTGAACTTGTATCGTTGGTTTCCCAAGTTAAAGACTTTCTAGGTATTCTCTATGTGAGTTGGATCTTCAGCCTGTGACAAACCTGACTCGCATACATATGAGAAACGTGTGTAGTTGCTTGTAGCTAATCCAATATTGTGCCACAAGATTCCGGGAATTCTAAGGGAAATGGGAGAACACCTGGGTAAATGTGAGGATTTGAAAGGGCCAACTGCTCAAGGACATACACAAATATTAAGTAAACAATCCTTTTTATCATAGGCATGTTTATAATAAATTTGAATTTGTTTAATTAAGCAATCAAAAGAGTGTGCTACAATAAAAATAATGATTCTGCTTGACATGCAATCATAAGGTCACCAGTTTCATCCAGAGAAGAGAAGTAACTTTTTTGAGGGTTCAAAACTAGTCCCAACATCATTAGGCTCTAATTAATCCGGACAAAATAAACGGACGAATTTAGTCAGTAACATAACAACACAAACAATTTCACTCTATTTCACAATTGCATTTTATACTTGTCTTGAAACACACCTTAATGTGGTACGTCTAATTTTATTATGACAAAATTATGGTTCAAAACTAATGTTTTCATTCTTACTATATCCTTTACAATCACAACAAAGTGAAAAGAAACTTTATTGCAAACTATTGCAAATGTCATGTCATCAAAAGAAAACATAGAACTACAATTGGAGCACACTCTATAACTTCTACTATCTTTTCTTTGAGCAAAACGTGGCAAAACACAGGCTCCAGCTAGCCAATGCCTACGTTAGTACAAAAGATTAACGACAAAATTAATTATTCTTCTTATACTAATAGCAGTAGAGAAAAAATATCAACTTAATATTTAATAACGTATCTTATAATCTTCCAGTTCATTTAATGCTGCATATATTTGTAATTACTCAAGTATAATGATTTTCCCTATTATATCAAATGTAGTTAAACGTTTCCTGAATAATTAGTGAGAAAAGAAAAAATAAATATTACAAGTTAAAGCCAATCACCTCAAGTATTAATATTCAACCCTAAAGCAAAGTATCACATTAAAAATTGTTGATCCTACTGGACGTATCTGACAGCTATGTCTAGTTATTCACAAAGGGTTCAGCAAAGTATTCACATGTTGAGAGCCTCTAGGGTAATTAAACAAACTAATTACCTGCAGTCTAACTCGCGGCAACCACAAACACACGGAATACCAATCAAGTAATTCTGATTGGCTGTTGGTTAATTAACTCATATTATCACTTTTGGATGGATGATTCGTTTAGTACTCACTAGTCATGTTGAAAATAAATTTAGTCAAATCTCACTGTCCAGTAAATAAAACGATTTCCATCAAGTACACAAAAAAAACTAGGAATATTGTATTCGTAATTGATTCAAGGACTACAAATTAGCAGCGAAATATTATTTCCAAACTTAGTTGTATTTAATGTAAATTAAATGTTTACACGTGGAGTCAAAATATTTCAAACATTCTTGGAGAGTAAAAATGCCATTTCCAGATAAATTACTTTATGGCTTTAATTCTTTGTTTTTTCGCTATCGGTATTGATTCTAAAGTAATGTCTTAAATAAAAAAATTAAATATTTAAAATCTTTTTTTAAATTTCTTTAAGTGGAGTTTTGGTGGAATTTGTAAGGTAGCAGAAGTGCTATTTAATTGAATAAAAGAGGTTTTTTCTTAGGTATAATCCTATCTTGGTTTTCAATTTTCTTGCAAATGTGGAGAGTTCTCGTATACATAGAAAGTCTCTCGTATGAGAATCAAACAGTATTTCGTTGGGTAGATTAGGTTAGGTTAATATTGAAATTGGTTTAATACCTTAAATAAAAAAATTGAATATTTAAAATCTTTTATTTAAAATGTATTTAAGTGGGGTTTTCGAATACATAGAAAGTCTCTCGTATGAGAATCAAACAGTGTTTGGTGTTCTAGGATCGTTAGGCTTACAGCTTGATGGACTTCTAGTTTTATCGATTGGCAGTAATTGAACAATGAACGCTGGGTTTTAGATAGTTTCGTGATCAAAAAACTTAAGTAACTGCGACCCAGACATTAATACTCACTTGATTAGTTTGTTTGTTGCAATACAAAGTTTAAATTATATTTAGAGATCTAATTAGCATATTACACCTCAAGTGCCTAAGTTTGAAACTAACTTGACTGGAAATGGTGAACTTTTCAGCTGCTAACGTAATAAGATGGTCTGGAAATTGAAGGTTTCCATTTGTACACCATCAAACCCAAGGAAATGAAGATGGCCTTTACTAGTTTCTCACTTAAAAGGTCAATACTGTTATGAAAATAGTCTACAAACTTAAAAATAGATTTATATGATATTTTTAAATTTTGGTTCTAGATACAAGATAAAATCTTACTTACTGATGGTTGAACCTTTGATTGTCTGAGGATGTAGCTGAAAAATAATTGTATTCATTATTTCATATATTTTGTACTATTCGTTGTCACGCAAATAAATACTTCCATCATTATTATCATTTATTATTATTTGAGACGGGGAAGCCACCTAGGAGCGTATTTAAACCCATAAGGATGAGTGTAGAATGGTGTTAGATCTGTGCAGATTTGTTACTGACTAAGATCAGCTGTATCATTAGCCAGGTTTTATTTAAATCCCAATGATAAGGAACAGCTGGGTCCAGCTTCGAGCCATCATAAAGCTTCTGACTTTGACTTTTCTTGGGACCTTTTTATTGTTACAAATAACCACTCAGCTGATCAAGTCAAAGATCTACAATATTAAGCTACAAATCACGTACACAGGTATCATGCTTTGCTTGTGCTTATTTTGGTAATTTAAGTGATGTTATACATATTAGAACAGTAACTGTAGGGATCGTAAACATTAACCAATGGCTGGAATGTAATTGCAACACAATGGTACTGTTTATTTTTGCTTTGAAAATGTTTTACGCCGGTAACGTAATTTAACCAAGTTTTTGATCCTTGTTATGTACTTAAACAAAGTGGAGTTATACGTTTTGAGAGCTTGTATGTTCAAAAAATACTACATAACCATGAACTGATGTAAAAACATGTGTAAAGTAAAAAATAACACGATGATCACTGGTATAATGGCTTTTTGTCGTTAAGAAAAGAGTTGCAATGGTGAAAGAGTTATCAGGTGGAAGTTATTTCGAGCAATAGCTTGTGTTGACCTACAAAATGTTGCCTGAAGAAGGTCAGTGTGTATGGGGTTAGTTTATGAGATGGTGAAGAGGGGAAGTTTGGGATACAAGGGTCCAGTTGGGTAAACTGTAGCACCAGACCTTTATCTAGGGTCCTAGTAAAAAGAATTAGGATTTCTAAATTGATGCCAAAAGAGTCTACTCAACTTAAGTTTTAAGAACATTTTTACTCTACCCTTGAATTTTACTATCATTACTATTATTTTTATATAAATCTTGGCTTGAAAATACATTTTTTTTTAGGGGAATGTTGGGTTTAGTTTGAATCATGCCTATAAAACAACAACTTACGATCATATACAATCTATATGTTTTATAACATTACTAATCGTGTAAAATGAGAATATCATGAGTATTTTGGCCAAAATCCATTATATTAAACAAAATCTTGTATATGCATAACATTAGCTACATACCAACACACCAAATCAATATAAGTAATAATTTAACACATGTATTTCTACCTGTTAAATAATTTATCCAAGGTTTATCGTTTAATTCATTTATTTTATTTTTTTTACTTTTTAATTTATATTTTACTTAGAAGAAAAACTAAGTAGTCACCATCGGCGTCACCAAATTAATTACAACCAAAATCAGTACCTACTTAAATATTTCACCCATCTCCTTTCTTTCTTTAAAACATTCTCAATATACAATTATCATTCCACATTTAAGCTCATACATTTAAATTTATTCTTGCTTACTTATTTGAATAACAAACAGATAATGAGCCAATTTATTTCCTTGATTTGAATCGATTTTTAGTTTAGAGATGACGTAATTGCTACTGAGAACGCCTCTAACATCTGCTACGTAACTATGACGTAATCATTGGACATCTAATGGCCATTAGAAGTCTTCATGTTTCCTGCTAACTGGAATCAAATTTCCAATCAGTAAGGCTAAGGTTGGCTTTCCAGGAACAGTAAAGTTACATTTAAGTGACCTAACCTTCATTTTTTACTTGTTTATAATTACTGTCCAAAACTGTTTGTATAAACTTCGTAACGTTTATCCCAGATGAATTATTGTTGCATCTGTTGTAATTCACCACAAAAGGGTTCCAAAATAAAATTCCTTCATTGTTCCAAAATTTGTAGTTTATCAAAATAAAACAAATTACTACTAAAACAAAGTAAGACTTCCAAACTTTAAAGAACCCAAATGTAAGTGAAATTTAGTTAATTCCATTATTGTAACAAATCATTAAAATTTAACTAATTCAAAAAATTCTTATTTTGATAACATTAAATTCTTAGTAAATTTGACTTGGCTAATGCATTTGTAATGTCAATCCAGCTAAATAAATGAGTTATTGAGTTATTCGGCTAATTGTGTAGGGACGTAAGACAATTTATGCTACATGGTTGAACCTACTTATGTAGTCTGCTGAATCGTGCCAAGACTTCTTAACACTTTTACATACAAATAACTAGAAACCCCAAGTAAGTGGATGCGTGATTGGGGCGTGTTTTAAAATAATCTGAGGACCATTCTACCCCTAGCATGTGGTTTGGTCCATGACTAGATAAGGGAAGCTTCTACGTGCTTCTTTTCTTACAACACCTTTTCCTGCAGGATATTCCTGACTATTTCAAATGTAACTACTTACTTTTAGAAATAAAAAAATTTTCTAACATTTCTATTCAAAATTGAATTATGTCACAACCGATAGTAACGGCGAGTGTTTCATAAGTTGGTTGTAAAACTCAAATGCAATCTTTTGTTTAAAATCGCACTCTGATTGCTCAGTTCAACTACATCCGGTATTAAATACTTCAAAATTATAAAAAACTAGTGACATATTTAGCATGGATGGAATGTCTAGTTGTATCAATAGTCAAAGGGGTGATTTGGTATTATATTGACCACACCGATAAATCTACTTCCAAATGAGATTTTAAAATAACAACATCTTCCTAACCTAACCAAACCAAACCTAACCAAACCTAGCCTAATCTAACCGAACCTAACCTAATCTAACCGAGCCTAACCAAATCTAACCGAACCTAACCTAACCTAACCACCTAACCTAACCTGAAACATAGTCCACCCTTAAGTCAGATTAGGTTATGGTTGTGGTTGGTATAACAAATTACCATCAAAGGTGTTAGTCATTTTATGTAAGGGAATAATTTGGATAGGTGATGCAAAAGCGTGATATTCACATTAATATTCATATGCATATTCATCACACATGTATTGCGTTGAGTGTATTGAGGTGTATTAATGTGTATTGATGTGCGCGTAGTGATACAATGCTCTGTCAAACGCTTTCACCTGTGTACACAACAATACAACGTTGCTGTTCTGACTGCTCAACTGTGCTTTCACTGTTGTCGTTTGATCATGTTGTTAAAACTTATGATCTAGAGCACAGAGTTGTGTTGGGGTTATGCATAATTCAGGTAGATTGTTAAATGTATTGCAGAGGTTTTTTTCCATTCCTTGAGATAGTAAACATTTGAATTAACTGTTTCGTAGTTGATTATATTTTATGGACAATATCAACTATCATTGAGAGGAGGACGCCGCCGGTGCGTATTTTAACTCAATGAGTGAAGGATGTTGTGAGATGATGTGTGTAGCTTTGTCACTGACTAAGATCAGCTGTTTCATAATTCATGATCATTTATGTAAAGCCCAATGATCAGGGATGGCTGGGTCCAGGAGTTTTGAACCATCAAAAAGCTACTGACTTCTCTCAGGATCATACCAGCGACCTTTTGATTTTTAGGCGAGTACTATAACCACTCAGCTACCCAGCCACCAATATAATTAATATCCAGCAGTACTCTAGGTGTGTACATTGTCTTTTATCTATGATTGTACATATAACTATTTAATTCACACGAGCGCAAATGTTAACAAAAAACTTTTACCCTAGAAATTCAACATGTCACATCATTGTCTGGCTAATATGGCATGGAGTTTCACGTTTTAACCTGTATTAAATTTTCAATTGAGGACTAATTCCTACAGGATGTATATTCACAATTAGTGACATAAAGTGTGATTTCAGTCACAAATACACAGGTGAACGGATATTTCAGAGTGTGTACTATAAAAGGTTTCTCTTTTACTGCCTTAACTTTAAGTTTTCATACCATGATAACTACAAGAATTGTACAATAATTTACAGTTTTAGTTTATCTGTATACAATAACGAGGAAGAGACCCGTATTTGACAACAGGCGCTGTACCTTTGTTTCAACTAAACAATTTGTTGTTTTTTACTGGCTTCAGCTTGCATTTAAGATTTTTTACAATATGACATTTAGCTAAGGTAAAATAATCTCATCAGAGATTTAGCAATGTATTTACAGTGCATAACAATCATTCTTAGACTGGTCTAAAAAGTTTTACAAACGATTGTAGTGAAATTTCCAAAATTAATGATTTCTCTTACATCGCATTCGATTCAGCAGCAGATGTTTTAAGTGATAAATTACAACGTGAATATCATCGGTAATTACAGGCTTAAACCTGATTCATGGCAAATGTGTGTACAAATACACCTAAGTGTAAACAGCAAGTTTTATCCACATATTTAAAGTAAATAAAAAAATAAAAAAAGGTAAATGGTAAGGTAAAAGGTAAATGGTAAAGATAAAAAAACTTATTTTAACAGAAAAAATTGTTCTTATGGTTGTCTATACACGTACAAATTTATAACATAATAAATAGTTTGCATCGAATCTTTTCAGAGAAATATAGCAAAATTACTACGTGGGTACGGTACTCCTATAATAAAGAACTATAATGATAATTTTCTAAAACAATTACTAAAGCTCTTTGAATAAGTGCTGTAGCTTGTGGAAGTAGTGGGTGGTTTTAGAAAAAAAAACTTAGTTAAACTGAGCCACGGACTAGAGTTGCATTAAAATACCATTACATTTTTTAGATAAGAAGTCTGGAAGCTGAGATGTTGATTCGTTATAAAATAAAGCTTTTTCATGTCTCCATCAACTACCAAAAATCAAAAATTTAAAAGAGAATATAAGAATTATATGGCACAATTTAGAGTCTTTTAAAACAAGGTTCTCTTTCAGGGAAAACACCCTGTGGATGTAATATTAACTTAAGTTTTCATAAAAATATTTAGTTTTAACAAACAAATAAAGTTCATAGGTAAATTTAACAATTGTTTAAATATTTATTGTAATCGTATGATATCTTAAATATCAGATTTACGCACACACAC